GCTCCTACCCTTTTTTCTTTATATATGCTCCCATTGGGTTCTATTTTCCGAAAGCATGGTGTTTCTTTTCATTGCTATGCCGATGACACCCAGATTTATTTGCCCCTTAAACACTCGGGTAACATCACCCTGGGTCCTCTAATGGAGTGTATGGAGGACATAAAAATCTGGATATCATCAAATTTTCTTAATCTAAACGAAAAGAAAACGGAAATTATATTCTTTGGTCCCCCTAGTGGCATTCCCACAAAGTTCGTTAATGATCACCATGTCACATTTCAAGCCAAAACTCTTGTTAAAAACTTAGGCGTTTTGCTTGATAATGAGCTGAAACTAGACAAACAAGTAAGCTCAGTGGTTAGATTTGTTTTTTTTTCATCTTCGCCTTCTTTCTTTTCTCTCTTTTCAAGATTTTGAAAGAGTAATTCATGTTTTTATATCATCACAGTTAGACTAATGTAACTCACTTTATTGTGGAATGAACACTACTTACCTGGCCCATCTCCAGTTGGTCCAAAATGCGTCAGCAAGACTTTTATTGGGCCTCCGTAAATCCACTCACATTACACCTGCGTTAGCATCATTGCATTGGCTGCCTGTCCGGTTTAGAGTGGAGTTCAAAACCCTAGTTTTTGTTTTTAAGTCCCTAAACAACTTAGCCCCCTCATATCTATCTGAGCTTCTATCTCCACATAACCCTTCTCGAGCGCTTCGATCCGGTAGTCATAGATTGCTCAATGTTCCCAGAGCCAGACTTAAACAAAGAGGTGAACGTGCCTTTGCCGTCACGGGTCCTAAACTCTGGAACAGGTTACCAGTTCATATTAGATCTGCTCCTACAATACAGATTTTGAAATCTTTGCTTAAAACTCATTATTTTTCCATTGCTTTTAATGTCCCTTGATGATTAATTTTTAAATTCGACTTCTGTTGTTGTTCTGATTTTCTTTTGATATGCTGTTGATAATTTGTCTCTGATTTTATCTGCGATATTTTTTTAATTGTTTTGCTTGTATTTATTTTATCTGATGCTGTAAAGCACATTGGTCAGCTGCCGCTGTTTTAATGGTGCTATATAAGTAAATTAAACTTGAAACTTGATCCAACCACTCCTTCATCCATTCATTTGCAGCTTTATTCAATCATCCACTCATTCATCCATTCACCTGCTCATTCATTCATTCATTCACTTCTTCGTCCATCCATCCATCCGTCTGCTCATTAATTCTTTAATCCATCCATCATTCTGGCTCTTCAACTATTCATTCACCCATAATTCTGGCCCTTCATCTATTCATTCATCCATCTGTTTCGTCATCCATTCATCCATCATTTTGGTCCTTCATCTATTCATTCATCCATCTATTTTCTTCATCCATCCATCCCACACATGCTTCCGCTGATTTATCCATCTGCTTATCCATCCATCCATCCACTACTTTATCTATTCATCCATCGTCTGCTTCTTATCCATCCATCCATCCACTTATTCAATCTTTCAATCATCCATCCATCCATCAATTTCTTCATCCATCCATCCACTCATTAATTCATTCAGTCATCCATTCTGTTCCTTCATGCATTCATTCATCCATCCATCCATCAATATGCTTATTCATCCATCTATCCACTCAATAACTCATCTATCCATCCATCCATCCACTTATTCAATCTTTCAATCATCCATCCATCCATCAGTTTCTTCATCCATCCATCCACTCACTAATTCATTCAGTCATCCATTCTGCTCCTTCACGCATTCATTCATCCATCCATCAATATGCTTATTCATCCATCTATCTACTCATTCATTCATCCATCCATCCACCTATTCAATCATACATTCATTCATCCATCCTTTTGCTTCTCCATCCGTCCATCCGCCCTCACTTACTCACTTATTCATTCATTTCTATTGCGCCAGTCAAGTCCTTTCACTTCCTGTTCTCAAAGTTCACTCTTTTACAAAACATACATGCACGCATTCTTAAAACCTCACAACAGAAACATCTCAGACAACGGCAGCAGGTGCCCATGGATGTCTTTTCCCAAAAAAGCTGTCCCTTTGACCTTTTCCTGTTTGCCAAGAAGGTGAAAGCAGAACGATGCCATGCTGATCAGAGAGCAGCAGGAGGACGATGCCATCCTATTACCTTTAAGCTGCTCTGAGCTTAGAGCTGAACCTAAGGGATAGTGGTTAGAAGTTCCTCAGCTCATCTGCCTGTCCTCACCATAATCAGCTTGTGCATGTGGAATACTGCCACACCAACAAAACAGAACCGAAAGCATATGGAATGTTCTAAAAGAAGGACATCCCCCTCTTCCTCTCTATTCTTTCCTTTCTTCTCTCCTTCTCATTACAGGAAGAGCTCCCTCAGTTTAAGTCTAATCTGAAGCTTAAAGCAGAGCCCTGGGATCTTCGGTTGGAAAAAAACCCCAAAACATTTCTTTAATCTCAGAGCCTGCCAGAACGAGATTTGTCAGTCTGTAAAATTCCTACAAACCCCGAACAAACATGGACATACACATGAAAATGTACACAGTGTGGCGACCAGAGGATCTGTTCTACATGGGTTACTCGTGCATATGTGTGAAACCGACTTATGGAAAATGAGCAGATTTGTTTCAGCATGTGTTTATTTGCATACAGGTAAGTCGGTACGGACATACACCACTGCAAATGTTTAGCTAACCTCGAGCTAGAAGCCTTGAAGCCGTGGCAGGGAACATCAGCAGTAAAGTCTTTAATTCTTGCTGATTCAATGGTTATTGAACAATGAAGACAAACACTCTACAAAATGATCCATATATGGTCAACAAGACCTTCCATAGACATTCCACACAGAATTGCACATAGAAAGGTAGAGGCTGAGTTGAGTATAATGTACTAGAGCAGAGCAGGTTAAAGTGCAGTAGAAAAGAAGTTCTCCAAACTAGGGCTTTTCTAGACATAAGAGGGTACTAGGAGGTCTGTAAAACATTTGATAATTTATATTTTATTGATTTATTATTGTTTGTAAAATGTGTTATTAAAGCTGTTAAAGTTAACAATGGCAGTTAAGATATTGGTATTCATTTATTTATTTACATTCAACCAATTCGACAATATTTAATTTAATTTCAAGACAAGATTTAGATGTAATAAATCTAATAATTTAGATTTAATAGATTTGAATTTAATTTCAGTTTTCTAAAGACTGATAAAAAAATTGGTAAAATAATTGTTGATATTTTATTCTATTAAGAGCAAAAGCAACAGTTAAAAAAGAAAAATCGGCATTTAAAAAGTGAATATTTTACAGCCAATATTTGAACAATTTGCTTTAGTACAATGAGAATATAAAAGCCAATTCTTCAATTATTCAAGGGGACGACTGTATTTCTGTATCCTTGGCATCAAAAACCCCTAAAGCAGAGTACACTACAGTAGAGTGGAGTATAAAATACTATAGGAGGGGAGAACAGACAGACTCAAGCACAAGGACAAAAGCCAGCAGCGCTCCAATCAAGGCTGCGAAAAACAAGATGTTAACTATTTATGTCTAAACAATGCCACTGTGAGTGGAGCGAAGCTTCTTGGGGCATGAAATGAATGTGATGTGAACATTTCAGAGGTCATGAATGTGCTTCATCACACTGACATAAAAAGCTCTGTTAATAGAACAGTGTGAAAGAAGAGTCTATTGTCAAAGTTCATTTAACTCATCCTCAATGCCGTCAGTGCCTAACTACACAGTCACATTTAGTTATTCAGTCTGAGTGTTCAGTCCTATCAGAAGGAAGAAAATCTAATATGCTGTGCCAGCAATCAGCAAGACAATCCAGTTTGCTGTCGACCGTTTGTATTTGTCATTTATGATCAAATTAATCTAAAACCAGAAATAAACAAGAAATCGAAACTCTGCTCACATTTGCGGTTGATGTGTTGCGTTGGCTCAAGACTCTTGCTGCTGCTGCAGACGGCCGTGGCGTGCTGGGGTGCAGGGTTCGTAGAGGGTGAGAAGAGTATAACAGAGATAGAATAGAATAAAGCAGACCAGATTAGGTTAGTGTGAAGAAGAGAAGGGTTTTTCAAACAAGGGCTTTTAGACAAACTAAACTAAGATGTCTGTAAAACATTTGATAATTTATATTCGATTTATTTATTATTGTTTGTAAAATGTATTATAAGAGCTGTCAAATTTAGCGTGCATTTAATATATTACTCATTTATTTTTAATTTCTTTCTTTGTTTCATTCAACAAATTTGACAAGATTACCATTCAATTTCAGTTTTCCAAAGACTGGTAAAAAATTGTAAGATAATTGTTAATATTTTATTCTATTGAGAGCAAAATTAACAGTTAGAGAAAAAAAATCTGCATATAGTTTTGTAAAAAAAAAAAAAATTAAAAAGGAAATATTTGTCAGATAAAATTTTAACAATTTGCTTTGGACAATGGGAATATAAAAGCCAATTCTTCAATTATTCAAGGGGACGACTGTATTTCTGGATCCTTGGCATCAAAACCCCCTGCAGTAGAGTACAGTACAGTAGAGTGGAGTATAAAATACTATAGGAGGGGAGAACAGACAGACTCAAGCACAAGGACAAAAGCCAGCAGCGCTCCAATCAAGGCTGCGAAAAACAAGATGTTAACTATTTATGTCTAAACAATGCCACTGTGAGTGGAGCGAAGCTTCTTGGGGCATGAAATGAATGTGATGTGAACATTTCAGAGGTCATGAATGTGCTTCATCACACTGACATAAAAAGCTCTGTTAATAGAACAGTGTGAAAGAAGAGTCTATTGTCAAAGTTCATTTAACTCATCCTCAATGTCGTCAATGCCTAACTACACAGTCACATTTAATTATTCAATCTGAGTGTTCGGTCCCATCAGAAGGAAGTAAATCTAATATACTGTGCCAGCAATCAGCAAGACAAACCAGTTTGCGGTCAACCATTTGTATTTGCCATTTATGATAATAAATCAACAGGAAATCTAAACTCTGCTCACATTTGCGGTTGATGTGTTGCGTTGGCTCGAGACTCTTGCTGCTGCTGCTGCAGACGGCCGTGGCGTGCTGGGGTGCAGGGTTCTGCCTCCTCTGCAGACAGGCCAGCATGACTGCGCAGACGCAGGTATGATTCTACAGACACTGGCTTGCCGAGGCCGACTTGCAAAATGAAGAAAAATGTAATTGTTAGTGATGTAGTCAGAATAAGCAAGATATGCAGGAATTACACTGATTTAGATGGAAAAACAGTATTATAAAAAGTCATTTGGAAACTGGAGGTTATAGCACATAAAATATTTTTAAGATTAGAAAAAAAAATAATAAAAAAAAACTCATAAAAAATGTAAATATTGAAAGTATTAATAAAATTATTAATATTTATGTTTTTAAAAGAATCAATAAAATTATTATTAATAAAAGTATTAATAAAATTACAAATATTTATTTTTAAAAATATTTAAAAATCTAAATAAAAAGTTTAAATAATAAAAGTATCTAAATATTTCTTTATCTATCTGAATTTGTTTGCTAAATAGTAAAATTATACATTTATATTTTTAACAGCATAAAAATAAAATTAATAAAATTATAAAAATGTAATTTTTAAATTACAAATAAAAATAAGTGTAAAAGTAAAATTATACTTGTTTAAAAGCATAAATAAAAATAAAAATGAAAGTTTAAATATGAAAACCATCAATAACATTATAATTTAAAAAAGTATAAATAAAATAATAAATATTAAAAGTATTAATAAAATAATTATTTTCAAAAGTATAAATAAAAATAATTAAATAAAAGTGTAAACTAAAATAAAACGAAACTAAACTTAAATACGAAAAGGATCAGGAAATGCCAGATTCAAACTCGCATGTGTCAGAGCACAAGCGCCAACCACTAGGCCAAGGCTCCAATGTGTATACATATTTTTTTATTCAGTTCTTCAACTCACACCTGTGAAGCACAGAAGGAGGACACACACACACACAGAAGTATGTGAGGTGGAGGTTTAATGCTGCTCCAGCTGCCTCTCGGCTCTGTGGGCTGAATTACAAACACACACCTGCTGCATCACATGGGAATCCAGCAGCCCCATCATTCCTGGCCATCCCACAGCACCCATCCATCAACAGCCTATCACTTCCTTCAGTCACAAGAGGAATAAAGCACCCATCACTGATCACAACACACACGGTAAGAACAAAACCCTGCGCTGACCTGCTGAAACACTTCCGAGGTGTTTTTTATTTTTAAATTATGCGGATGTCAAAAGAGAAAAAGAGAGCCTGTCTGCAGTTCAGATGGTGACTGGGATGGTGTTTTGCCCAAAAAGGTCTCGAGGCGGTTTCCAGGAGTTTCTGCTTGGAGTGTAAATGTCCATATTATGTGTGGGTGTATGTGTAACATGCTGATGAGTCGGGTGGGGGGCAAATGCCAAGCGCACATCAGGGCCAGTGACGGGCGTAATCAATCTCCCCCCGGGCCATAAATCTCTGGCTGCATTCCTACTCTGCCTCCCTCCATCTTCAGATCTTTCGCTCCAGAGGAAGAAGAGAAAACAGGGCGCGCTGTTCCTGCTCTGCCTCCCTCCATCTTCAGCTCTTTCGCTCCAGAGGAAGAGGAGGAAACGGGGCGTGCTGCCAGACAGTCGACACAGGAAACAGCAGCTCTGTTGGAGAACGCGTTATAGGACCATCTGACTATGTTTTAGGCAGTGCTGCCACCCACCAGCCGACTCTCAGACTAGCAAAGACAGTCTAATGGGAAGTTAAAGGAACAATCCTGCTGGAGTAATTTTAGGAGAAGTGCCTTGTTCAAGGGCGCAAAAGAGGGTTCGAAATTGCAACCTTTTGGGTACAAGCCCAGATGGAACTAGATCAGGACTTTGATTTCAGCAAAAATGTGCAAACGTATCGTACTTTGTTTTACAGCACATCTGATTGTCAATCGTTAAGCAATTACAATGATGTCCTAAACTTAATATAGACAACAAGGTTAATTTTATGATATATGAAATATTACGGCTAATGTTGTGTTTGCTCCTACATGACTTACTGTGGCCCAGGAAATGAAACTAAACTAAACTAAATCAAACCAAAACAAAATAAAAATCACAAACACACAAAAACTAAATAAAAACTACCTTTACCTAAAAAAAACAAAAAACAAAACAATGGGCGAAATTGAAACAATTAAAAAATGGTTTCAGTGCTCCAAAAATAGCTAAAAAAAAAGGGCGACAATTTTAGGTTTAGTTTTTCTAAAACATGCTATATTACAAAATGTGAAAACTTTACGGAGGTTAGATAGCAAAAATTTTAATTGAAACATTTAGTGCATTAACTTTGGCAGCCCTAAAATTCTAAAACCAAAATAAAAACTAAATAAACTGAATCTAGAAAACTATTAAAGAAAAAACTACACTAAAACCATCAGTGATTGAGTGAAAAACGAAGTAAAATATAGACCGATAAAATGAAAATAAAATAGAAATGAACATTTCAAACCATAATAACCTTGGTGAAATGTTTAATATGGTTTGCCTAAGTAGGTAGGACATGTTCCCGGATCAATATCCTTGTTGCTCTGGAACAGCATTCGTATCAACCAATCAGGTTTTAGGATTAGGCTTACAGCTGGGGTTAAGGGCTTGTACAACATTCTTACCCCATCATCCCCCCGATTGGTTAGGGTTCTGGGTTCAACTAGGGCTATGCACCAACAAAAGATCTAGGAACATGTACTACTTGGCTAAATCAAGTCGTGCCAGAGGGCAACTGTGCAAATTACAGCTCTTCAGGTGGTGACGTGATTAAACTGAAGCAGACACATCTTGAAGCTCAGCAAGAACGTCTGACAACCCTTTACCACCCATCTTGTCAGTCAGACTTTCAGAGGGAACAAATCCTGAAACTGCGAACAACGCCGAAAACATGCAGTCCAAGAGTGTGCTGAATCGCTCCTTTTTATTGACATGTGAAATCTGTGTTATTTAAAGATCGCAGCTCATCGGTAAACATCTCTCTCTCGCTCTCCTCAATGGCTTTCGGTCACAGCGGGGAAATGGATTAGCCCTTCCTGAGACTCTGTTTCCAAAAATCTGCATGTGAATGCAAGCAGATGATGAGGAACTGAGCAGAGAATGAGAGCGAGATCGACAAGCGACTCAGGTCTGTCTGTCTGCCTGTCAATATTTATTTATAGCAAACAGGCATGCGCTTTGAAATTGTGCAGCCACGTCAGCTAGCATGTGCTTATCAATGCATTTGATTAAATCAACTGCAAAACCAATAAAATCTCCACCACTATACATGCAATCCTCATTGTTCTCTGCCTTCTGCCAACAGCAAATGCTAGAAGATTTCTGCAATTGCACTTGTATGTGCTTCCTGAGATATGAGCCACATTACATATTTGCAAATTCTCGGATCGCTGTTATATCCTAAATCTAGAGGCTTTATAAGCCATTCATAGGGAATGAACCTCACGCAAACAGTGCGATTGAACTCTTGCACCACTACAAGAAACTTGTGCTTGCATGGCTAAAACCATGACAGCATGGATTTAGTTTGATGTTATTTAGCATATGATTTTCATCTTTAGCCTTACAGCCACACCAACTTCATAGACATCCTGGAGTTAAGTCCCTTGGTTAGGGTAAAGGCTCAGGTTCCAAATGTGTGTTCAGAGAATTCAGACCTACTAACACAGAGCAGAAGGGTTCAGTGCAACATGATTTTAAAACTAAACGCATCTCTATGAACCACATTACAATTCACACAGTGAAAGTTGTTTTAAACACTGTTAAAAAGATTTCACATGTAGAGATGCATACATTATATCATTATATAATTATAACCGAATTTAAAATGCATAGCGTAGAGATGCACCGATTGCAATTTTCTTGGCCAATTCCGATTTCTTGTTAGTGTGATCTGCCGATACCGATTTTTGCCGATTCCGATTTTCTTTCTAAGATCTATAAGTGACAGCATATACAAACAAAAATCTACTTTTCTTCAACGCAAAGTTTTATTTTCATAAAAAAAACACAAGTAAAAAGTCAGTAATATAATAAGAACAAATAAAAAAATTGCAAACAACAGCACAAATAAATGCAATAAAATAAATAGAGCTATGAAACTAAGTTTTTCAGGTTAAGTACGTTTTTATTCAGGTAAGAAATACTACAGAAATTAAAGTAATCCAATGTAAAATAACACATCCAGTGTTATTTTACATTTGATTACTTTAATTTCTGTAGTCTTCATTGTAAAAATTAAATACAGATTAATGCTTACAATTTAAAGTTATAAAACGTATTCAGTCAAGTGCAGAAAGTGATTTCTTTGTCTTTTGTTCTTTGATTAACATGACAGACAGCAGCTTAACATGACAGACTGACAGCAACAGGAATATTGGACTGCGGTCCCTTTAAGAGTTTATCCACAGACCCAATATACACAACATGCGTTCTCTTTCTCAACTATTTAACGTTCCAAAACTGACTGTGTTTAACTGGATACTCGCCAAGACGGGCATTTTGACATAATTTTGTATGTATTTGAACGTTTTAGCACAGTTAGCTACTCATTTTGGTATTTGTGGCTCACAAGCTGTTTGAGACTGAGCGCGGCTTGTGCACAGAACTAATATAGATCAGTGATGGTGCGCGCACATTTTATGTAAGCGTGAAACCTGCGGGAATGACTAAAATAATACGCAATACAAGCACTATTTAACCAGAGCGAATGAGATGTGTGTGTGTGACAGAGAGAAGGGGTCGTCGGAGAGAAGAGAGCGAGAATGCACGGCTGACGTTATTGCCAGTGCCGCTGGTAACAAAACGGATCGGCTCGAAATCGGAAAGAAGTGAGACTGACCGGCCGGTCACCGATCCGGGCCGATCATGAGGAAAACCGGCCAATTCCGATCCCTGGCTGATCGATCGGTGCATCTCTAATGAATTGGTAAGTGTTATAAAGTATTAACTGGTTACAATTATTCATGAGATTGTACGATGCATTATAAGGTGCATTACAAGGCATAATTAATGGATTAAAACTACTTTTATAATGTGTTATACATAAAAGCTTTAAGTAAAGTGTTACCATTACTTTTAACAGTGTTATTCATTTTATTGTACAAATCTATAAACA